TAAACTGATTCCTGCAGTTCTGAGTGGGATCAATTACAGTGTCACAGCAAAGCTCTGGTTCCCAGCTACCCCGGGAGATGGGGTGAGATGATTGTGAGCGTCCGACTTCCAACCTCTTGACCAACATCCCACAGTCACAGGTTAGAACTGGAATCGTGGTCCCCTGGGGTTACCCCTCAATGTGTTTCTCACTCTTTATCTTTTTTTCAGCCGTGGAAGAAGAAAACCAAGGAGCAGAGAATGAAGCAGCAATAATAATAATCTTTGCATTTGACTGTGTATTTTGTGGGCGAAACACAGCAGCCAATTTGCACACAGCAATGTCTCACAAACAGTCGGGGAGTGAGTGACCAGTTTTATTGGGGGGATTTTGGGCTAGGATAACGGGAGAAATTTCCTTTTCTTTTCAAATGGTACCATGGGATCTTTAACATCTACTTGAACAGGCAGTGGAACCTCGGTTTAATTTCTCATCTGAAGGACAATGTAGCGTTCTTTCCAGTACTACATGGAGGAGTTAGCCTAGACTATGAGCATGCAATCCTGCTACAAGCAAAGTGGAACCTGGGTTTTGTTTTGTATTCCTGTTTAATAAAACACCTTCTGTGCTTGTTTGCTATTGTGCTTCTCAACGATGCTCAAGGTTTTGAATCCAGAAATGTTATAAAAAATGTGAAAGTGGATTTGAATCAAATAATCAGAGATTTGCATGCATCTGTACTGCATATGACTACGCTGACTGACTTTTATCAGGACTGCGTTACAGACACTACCTTGGGCTGGTATATCAATTCCCCGTGGCCTAATTCTCAGTTAAAGTCTGAAATTATTTTGGCATTTCATTACGGAAAACCAAATGGGCTGTTAGGACGTCTATAGGTCCTTAAGGAGCTCTGTAGAAAAGAAGAGTTTATTTTCACTGAAAGTGGCCCAGGGCCCATCAACTGGTGACAATTTCTACTCATTTGTAGAAAGGACAATGGCAACCTTCTACTGCGCATGCAGAGACAAGGACTAACCAACTGTGGAGGGCTGGACACAAAGCAGTCATTATGCATCTGGCAGAATTTAATAGGGACTCTTACATAAATAAGATTTACTGTACCTCCAAGACTAGACTCTTAGACTTACAGCTGTTTTTACCAGAGTAGTAGTGAGCTGGTCCAGCAGCCAGCTGTAATATTAGTAACAATAATAATAGTAATCCTTGCAACTGATTTAAGGCCTTATGAAGTTATCAAGACATCTCAAAGTGCTTCACAGAATATACTGCAAAATGAATTGACTGTATTAAATTGTCGAATGCTCTTCCCCAAAGGGAAAGTGATCCACCATTTGACTAACAAATGGGTTCCTACTTACTGCTAGGTAAACAGAGGCATGCGGTGTAGGGAAACTCGCCTAAGATTTTGCCCTGCCTGGAAATCGAATTTGGGTCCTCTTGCTCGCGAGGCAAGTGCTCTAATCAATACACTGCAGGATTCTAGTAGCCTCGTTAAAATATCAGGCCCAGTGTTTAATTTGACTTGTCACATTTGCCTTCAAAATACAGTCTCTACACATAGCAGTTATCCATGAAGCACTTTGACTTTTTGCAATAATCCTTGCATTTGATACAGTGCTTTATCACATCAAAACGTTTCAGTTTTCTGCAGTGACTGTGTATTTTATGGGCGAATGCAATAGCTAATTTCCGCATGAAGTGAGTGAGTAGTCACCACAAGCACTGTGTTGGTGTAAAGAGAAGGTCCCACCACCACCTTCTTAGGGCAACCAGGGGTGGACTTTGCCAGCGTTGCCCATGTTCCGAAGCACTGAAAACAAAAACTAGGCTGTTTCAACAGCAGATATTTTGCATTGTTTATCGGAGGACTTCGAGAGAGGACTTTCAGTGTCAGTCTGATTCAGACTTGAGTTCTGCAGTGACATCTTGTTTTTCTTGGTGATTTTGAAGGTGTACAATTCACTAAAAGAAATCACTATCAAAAGGCATTTCCTCCTGATCTATAATCCAGGTTTCCCTAATATCTAGTTTACAAGTAAACTCCTTCGGGACTGGATGAGTAAATCCCTTCTCCCCAGAGCTGGTTAAACAATAACTTCTAACTAGTTCAAGCGTTCCAAGTTGCATGTTGTTATTGTGTTTATGTCGCACCTTTCACGTAAACAAAACCTCTTAGAAAATTAGATTAATGAAAAAAATTAATTAGTGATGAAGTGAATGTTAATCGGGCAGCTATTTCGCACCAACAACTCGTTACTAATCAAAATAAATAAATAAAAATAATAATAATTTGGTCACTCAATCCACGACTGTTTGTGGGACGCTGCTATGTGCAATTGGCTGCCGCATTTTGCCCACAAATATACAGTGAATTCACTTAACAGTATATTCAATGAAGCGCTTTGCGACGTCTCGAAGTTGCGATAAGGCGCTATATCAAATGCAAATATTATTATTATTATTACTATTCACAGTTCAGATTGGCTTTGGGTTTGACGCATCAAAATAGAGTCAGGCCCAGTGTGAGTTTATGCTAACAGGGCTTTTATATCACTTATTGACAAAAGGTTTTTGCCTTAATTCATACAAGGAGAGCCTGGCTTTCAGTGCAACAATGTTATATGGGCTCCATGCCTGGCAGAGCTAGGTCACGGAGCTAAGAGTGTATCTTAAATCTTTTACCTCCTGGGAACTGGCCGTAAATCCGCCCCCTTGAAGGGGATGCTCGTTTGAGTTCACGAACAAACCCTTTAAGGTTTTTCTCTATAGAACAAAAAAGTGGCCTGAAGTCAACACCTCATTTATCAGTCTCAGGGTTTAAAGTACAAGCCTTGGCTGGACTGCAAAATAAAAGTCATCGCATTTGCTGAGGTATGGATTAAGGGTCACGCTGTCAAAATAATGTGGGGAGCTAAGTGACACCATCCACCTGCATGATTGAATTCAGAAGTTCTTGATACCATCGATCTGAAGCTTATAATGATGATGATGATAAATGGTAAATAATAACCATGGTGATCCTTGCATTTGATGTAGCTCCTTTTCACATTGTCGAAACGTATCAAAACGCTTTACCGTGAAGTGTAGTGACTGTTCATTTTGTAGCTGAACATGACAGACAATTTGCGCGGAACAGCGTTCCACAATTAATAATAATAATAATCCTTACATTTGATATAGCGCCCAGTCACTCTGCCCCCACCTTCTGTAACTCCATCCCGTAGTCTCCCTGCCTCGCCCCCTCCCTTGCCTCCTTCAAGACCCGTCTCAAGACCCTCCTCTTTGACCGTGCTTTTGGTCACCCTCCCTCCCCCTGCCCTCCACCCTCCCTGATCCCGACCCCCAGCTTGGGTCCGAAACACTGACTGTCCAGCGCCTTGGGACGTCCTCCCGACGTGAAAGGCGCTATAGAAATGTAATTTTGTTGTTGTGTTGTTATTATCACATCTTCAAGACACCTCAAAGTGCTTCACGGAATGTACTGTAAAGTGAATTGACTATATTTTGTGGGCGAAATAGCCATGAAGCGAGTGATCATCTTTTACCCTGTGGATTGGTGGCCAGGACACTAAGAAAAACTCCTCTCTTTTCTTGAGGTGTGCCATGGGATCTTTAACATCCACCTGAACAGGCAGACAGGACCTCAGTTTAATGTCTCATCCAAAGAACGGCACTCCAACAATGCAATACACCCCAGCACAGCATAGGAATATCAACCTAGATTAGAATGAGTTAAAAGTCCTGACATGGAGCTCGAATACACAACTTCCTGACTCAGAGGCAAGATAACTAACCAACCGAGCCAGGTTTCATTTGCATTTAAAAAAATATATTTTCGTGAAAAAGTGGTGCGTCTGTAGGAAATACACAGATTTTTACAAACCTTTACCTTTCCTTTATTATCATTGCAAGAGCCACAAACTGTAGCCAGCCTGTGACAAAGAGCCATTGTAATACAGAGAGTGGGAGGAGGAGGGGGAAGCAGAGTACGCCTTAAAACTTTCACTGAACTTTAGTGCTAAATGATCGACAGTTTCAAACAGGAATAATAAAGGTACATTTACACACAAGGTTCAGCTCAAGATTCTTATCATTTATTGCCCTGTGACAAGTTCCCATTAAAGCATGGTTTGCCGAAAAGATGATTTTACAGTAAAGCGCTTCGAAGGGTAGGGGCATAAATATGAAAAGCACTTTGAAGTCTGAAGGCTCGTCATACTGACTCTGACTGCATTTTAAGTTCAGTTTGTTTCAGGAAGATTCCCCGAATCTTCGCACGGGATTGGACTTTCATTGCAAAACGTTCATTAAGTGATTTATTGGTTTCAAAATGAGTTAAATCTGCTCATGGGCAAGAACGCAGCAACCTTGTGTAAGTAAGTGCATGCCGGGAGACCCAAGTGTATGCACCAGGCTCCCTAAGGCGGAAAATAAATGTTGTTTGATTGAAAGTCATTTTAATAACAATTTCTTTGGCTCAAGTAACTAAAATGATACGATATGGGCTCTATCCACGCAGTCTGATTTGGAAGGAAGGGAAAGAAACAAGGGGTCCTACAATGTACAATGTTTACATCTGACTGTAGCGGAGGTGGACTGCACACCAGATGCGCCAAGGTGGATTCTGGCACTGACTGGCCTACTTTCTGTGTGCTGTGCGTGGACTTCCCAGTCTGGTGGTGTCCCACCAACTGCTGGAAACGTTCTTGAGAACAGCTGTTGTTGCCCTGTGCCTCGCAGGAAGAGACATCAGCAGCGAGCCGGAAAGCACTGACTGGCAGCCATTTTTATAATGCGACCTTTTATAAGACAGCGTCTGATTTTATGGATCATTGCGTTATAACACGAGCGTCCTTTATACACACCCTTTAAAGGGAGCCATCCTGAATTGTAATTTTCCAGAGCTTGCACAGTCCCATGGAGAGAAATTGGTCTGAGCAACGTTCTTAGGTACTCCATATCCAAATTTGCCCAATATTATTCCTAAAGTACTCACCAATGCAAACTTGTTCACTTGGACATAAAGTTGCTGCACTTCCTGATCAGTCACTAATGCTTCACCTCCAGTACACTCTTTGTATATCTCCAGATAGGTCCTCAGCCATTCCTTCTGCATCTCCTGAGTTGGATACAGGCTGTAGTCTACTTCATTCACACCTAAACAAAAGCAAGCAAACAAACATCTGAATATTTCATCATAGGACTCAGAAGCCTCATACTTCTAGGCAACCACAAGAACAATTGCAACTAAAAGTGTTTGGCTGTCACAAACAGGAGGATTCATTAATAATAATAATCATCCCTGCATTTGACATAGCACCTTATCACGTCATTGAGATGTCTCAAAGCACTTCACAGAATATACTGCATAATAATAATCCTTGCATTTGATATAGTGCTTTTCACGTCTTCTCGACGTCTCAAAGTGCTTCACAAAATATACTGTAAAGTGAATTGACTGTATATTTGTGGGCGAAACGCGGCAGCCAATTGCGCACAGCAGTGTTCCACAAACAGTCGAGGATTGAAAATGACCAATTTATTATTGTTTTGTTTTGGAGGGATTATTATTAGGCGTGTGGAGTAAGGAAACTTGCCCAAGATTTCGCCCCCTGCCTGGAATTGAACCGGCAAGTGCTATAACCACTGAGCTACAGGACTGCTAATAATCCCTTGCATTTGACATAGTGCCTTAGCACACCGCTAATATATCTCAAGGAATGTCACAGGATTTACTGTAAAGTGTAGTGACTGTGTATTTTGTAGTCCCGAAAACAACCATGAAGTGAATGACTGAGAACGCTGGCCCAGGATGGGATTACCAAGAGGTTTTTTTGCGATACCCCAAATAAACCTTCTGACGTGAAAGGCGCTATACAAATGTAATCTTGTTGCTGTTGTAAACAAGTTTGTCAAGCTTGCAGTTTAAGTATAATAGTCTTTGTCATTAAGGATTCCTCATTGTCTTTCATCCATACAAGGCTCACCTTCCGACCCCCACCCTCTACCACACCAAGTGGCTGTGTTTTATATGAATAAGTACATAAGTGATTGGAGCTGCATTTTGACCACAAACGTGAGTTAATTACAGTGTTCACTTTACAAGTAGGATTCTTTTTGCATATAAATAAATAATCAATCGGAGATGCATCATGTTAACTGGGATACAGGTATCCAGTTACAAATAGAGTTCAGATATGCCTTTAGATTCAACACTTGTTACTGTGAGCACTGGGAGAGAATTGGGATTCAAACGTGGGGGGGGGGTTGCAAATGGTGGGGGGGAATGGGAGAGAAAATGCTGAAATCACACAATTGGTAAAATGGACATCCAGACAGTTATAAAGCACGAGTGAAATTGGACCACACATGGGGTATAGAGGAAGTTATCAGCAGGCTCACTGAAACACATTCCTGGAACAAACCACAGCCCAATTGCCTGCAGAGGCGGTGGTTTTGTACTCGCTCTCCACCCCCTCCCCGATTGTTTCAGAAAACAGGCAGCTTCCTTTTGTTGGGAACAAACAGAGACTCGCAAGGCCAAGTGGTTAATAACGCTATTTTTTTTATATAAAAAAGGAACACAACTCCAGCAATCACCGGCACTATTCATGAAGCTCGGCTCGTCCAACGCACTCGGAATAATTAAAAATAAAATGGGAGATAATGACCGGATGATTAATGATTCACAACTAATGACAGGAGACAACTTGGTGGTGTCATATGTCAGTATATGGAATGTCACAACAATGTTGCTTGCGTCTGTTATGATGGTGGACCAGAAATTATGGTGTTAGTCATAAAGAGAGGGGAAAAAAGACAATGGATCAATGGACATTTCATCAGTGGTTAGATTCATAATTACATTTTAAGAAAAAACACTGTGACTGAAACGTGCAACGTTTATGTCACCCAGTTCTGGTGTTACGGAGAAGTATTGCCAATCCAGCAATGGTTCTTGAGCTGCAGTTTTGATCTCTCCTAAGTCCTCTCGAGCCAGTTATGGTGCAGAGCTGCCTCTCTGACCAAGACTGAAAAATGAGACAGAGTTATTGGCAAACTGAGCTAAAGCTTTGTGCTGTGAACATGTACCCACAGAAAGCCAGACTAAGCCTTTACTAAGCTGCTTGTTAGAAAAGACCTGGAGTACTGTGTACACTTCCAGTCCCTGTATTGGACGAGGGATGTTTTGGGCACTGAAGAGGGTCCAACAAAAGGCAACTCAACTGATGGCTGTAATTAGCCATCTGAGTCCTGAAGAGATCTTGCGGAAGATGCAAGCATCCACCTTATTTAAGATCTTATTTCAGCATTCCCGATCCTAAAGGGTTTAGTTAAACTGAACCGCAATGATATGCTCAACACAGTTACAAATTCTACAACAAAGGAGGGGGTGGGGGAGGTGGTGAACGAGTTCTCAAGCTCAGAGACAGTGTTGAACTACTCTATGAAGAGAGTGGTGAGAATGTGGAATAGACTACCGTGGGAGGCAGATTGCCTCAGCAATTTGAAGAGGGAATTGGATAGCTATTTGAAGAGATTGACGGAGGGAGATGAGAGGTAATGTAGTATAGGATTAGTATTAAACATTGTAATGAATTGTAATGCAGTGCTTCAAGGCTGCATTATGCGAAGCTTGCTATGTAAATGTGAGTTGCTATCATTCTGGAGTCCTGTAGCTCAGTGGTTAGAGCACTTGCCTCGCAAGCGGTTCGATTCCCAGCAGGGTGATATGTTGGGCAAGTTTCCTTACTCTACACGCCTCTGTTCACCTAGCAGTAAATAGGAACCTAGCAGTAAACTGTTAGTCGATTGGCAGGTTGCTTTTCCGGGAATAACAATCCCTAAAAAAAAACACTAATAATTTGGTCACTCAATCCACGACTGTTTGTGGGACACTGTTGGGCACAATTGGCTGCCGGATTTTGCCCACAAATATATAGTCAATTCAGTTTACGTATATTCTGTGAAGCGCTTTGAGACGTCTAGAAGACGTGAAAAGCGCTATATCAAATGCAAGGATTATTATTATTGTTACTTGTTGCAATGATCCTTTTTTCTGTTGTATGTTCCTAAGATCCTATGTAAGACTGCATTTCGCTCCCACTTTAGCAGTAGTTCTGCTGGTTGGTAGCGTTTCAGAATTTACAATACACCAAATGTTTTACTATTCAGTAATAAACGGCTTGTAATAAACATGATCGTAAAAACGTGGCACGATAAATTTTGTCCATCAGAGATTATTAAATTTATTTAAGTGATAAAGCCTGTTATGGGGCAGAATAGAAGGCAGTAAAAGTTGAACGCTACTAAACAAATAAGTAAATAATTAAGTAACTAAATTTAAAAAGCTGCGATGGTAATGTCAAGTGTGCTGGGTCTCCACGGTTTGAGTTTTACTCTCAGATCCTGATGGAGCTTCATGCCACAGTAACCTGTCACCACACTAAACTGCACATCATGTGCTCAAAAACTGCATTTCACCAGAAATACAGCTTCTGAGCACATGCGTTTTACTGGCCGTAATTTACGAGGGTAGATCAAATGGGATCATGGGATAGTCTCTGTGAATTGTGACTGACCCCATCCCCTGGCTAGGGGTCAGATTCCGCCACTGTCAAGAGCTCCGGGATGCTACCCCGTGTGAAGAGCGCGGTATAAATGCAAGTTGTTGTTGTTGAGTTATCTGCATCGTTCTTGGAGCTGTGCACAAACTCACCATTCGTTCTCCTGTGCAGTGATCTAAACGTCAGGGCAGCGGTCCGAAACAACAACTTGCCATTTATACAACAATCTTCATGCAAGAGCACAGCACAATGGCTGTACTGGATGCCGAGCAAAGGAGGAGAGGGAGGGAGGGAGGGAGGGAGTGGTGACCATAGGCAATGAAAAGGTAGGACTTAAGGTCGGATTTCGCAATAGGTAAAGAGGGAGATTGAAGAGGAGAGTTTCAGGCAGGGAGTTCCAGAGGTTAGGAGCATAGTGGCTGAAGGCATAGGCATGCACAGCAGGTCAACGTTAGCTGAACAAAGGGTATAGGAAGAGGAATGTGATACGAGCAGGGAACCAGCAGCTTACCTGAGTATTCATTGAAGTGGTTACCAATGTCGTAGGCTTGGTAGTTGTAGCCAGTGTATTCATAGTCAATGAACTTCACGTGGCCTAAGAAAGAGTAAACAGCTACAACACATCAAACACTTTCTAGTCAATGGTAAATATACACTTTCAGGACAGGAGGAGGCTATTTAACTATTGCATCTGTGCCACAAATGCACTGCAGTGAAAAATTATCTCAGAGCTAGCATATTTTCTTCCCAACACAATGTATATTTATCCTTGCACTAGATATAGCAGCTATAATAATAATCCTTGCATTTGATCTAGCACCTTTCACGCCATCGAGACGTCTCAAAGAGCTTCATTGAATTTACTGTAAACATTTTTTTTACTGAATGACCAATCTTACCCGGAAGACAGCTGGCCAGGACACGGGGTGCGAGAAGTCTCTCAAAGGATAATTCAGTGTAAGGTACAGGGATTGCTTATATGCTATACAGTGGTATGGGATCTGAGTGAAGGCACAGAGAGAGAAGCATTATCCCTTAAGAGCCAAGTAAATGATTAAGTTTAGAATGGATGGACGGCCTAACTTCACAGTCCATTTCCTTTTAACATGACTACTCATTCTGATTAGATACCTCATTGTATATAAAAACGGCTGGGAATGTCCAGGCTAGCTGTTCACCAGTCAGCTCTGTCTGCAGGAGATTCATTCAACCAGTGATGAGACGCAAACACAGTGAACACACCTTAATGTGCGTTTCCATTGGAGTACAAGGTGGGGGGGAAACATCTGCCTACATTTAGGCAATGGTGAAACATTCTCATTCTCAGGACTGGTCTAATGGGGGCCACCTTCCATAAAAACATACAGAGACCTAGGCACCCATCCAGATGCACATCACTATTGTAGCCCCCTTTCCACTCACCCAAACTCACTTTACACTTATCCTTGACTAATATTGGGGCTTCCTACATGTCCAGCCAATTGCCTTGGACCAACCTGGAGGAAGATGGGGGGAGAGAAGAAGCGACGCATCCATAATCATGCCTGACCATTTAATGCTGATTCTACACTGGATTTGGGGTAGTTGAATGAGAATGAAGGACAGGGAATAAGGAGAATAGGAGGGAGGGATGGAGGAATAAATTAAGAAGAAAAGGTTATTACATCCTAATTTCCGACAGCAATGTATGCACGTTTTTGGAAAGTTCTCATGTAACAGCTTTTGTAATTAAAATTGAACTTTGGATCTTTCCGAGGTCAAGTCTAAATTTATATGAATGTTTATCCCTCATGTGCAGTGGCTGGGCTGGCCTAACATTACTCCACCTTGGCATCAAATCACTAATGTCACTTCACACTACCTGCATTGAGAGAGTTGGTATTTATTCAGCACTGGAGTTCCTTTAATAAAAAGTGCTAATTATAATAATATAATAATCCTTGCATTTGATACAGCGCCTTATCACGTCATTGCGACGTCTCAAAGCGCTTCGCAGGATTTTACTGTAACGTCTCATGATTAGTACATTAGTAGACGATTGTGGCAGCCAATCTGCACACAGCAATGTCCCACTTTCCGTGAAGTAAATGATCAATTTATCAATTTGATCTTGTTGGCCAGGACACAGGGAGAAACTCCTTTCACCTTTCAAGTAGTGGTGTGGGATATTTAACGTCAACCTAAACAGGCAGATGGGATCTTGGTTTAACGTCTCATCCAAAGGACAATGCGGCATTCCCCAACACTGGGAGCGTCAGCCTAGAATGTGAGCTCAATGTCTACATGTGCTGCTTGAAACCACAACCTTCTGTTTGAGAGGCGAGACTGCTACCTACCTGCTGACTGAGCCTAGCACACCACTGAGTATACAATTCACCTGGAGGATTGCCGGCCTGGGAAGAGACTCCTTTCTCTTATTTATCCCCCATGAAAGTGTCACAGATTTTTAACATCCACCCAAACCCAGGCACCCGACCTGTTAATCTACTCAGGGTACGATTCCACAGCAATGGCCTCAGCAAGAGCACAACTGCACGTAGGGCAAGAGGGGCATTGTTGCAATGAGTCTCTTCCCTCTCTGATCCCAACCTCCAGCGCTGGGCCAAACCCCTCATTGTTCAGTGCCTTGGGACGTGAAAGGCACTATGTAAATGCAATTTGTTATTGCAGTTGTTACTTCAATACTGTCAACATATTCCTGTCGGAGAGTTGCTTTATATGGAGTCGGCTCTGCAGAGCAGTACTACAGGACACACTGTTACTAGTGGAATCCCCAGCATTGGTCTCAACAGGGAACCTGCAGACAGGCAAGCTTGTGTTGTGCACAGCTGGCACATAGCGTTCCTGCCCAGATGGCTGGGGACAGTCTAGACATAGCAGAGAAGACAGCAGGTCTGGCCTGTATGGGCTAGCTGGCTGTTCGTAAGGCAATTCTCCAGAGCTCCAGATAATTACACACTTCTTATTCAGAAACCTTTAAGAAATACCGCAATTGAAAACTCCAAAAGGAGGAGCATTAAGTATTTTACAATGAAAGGCCCAATCCCAACCCCCTTCCCTACACAATACACGTGACTGCTCTTTAGATCTTAATTTGATAGATTCCTTTAATTTATTTTAATACAAAAAGACCATTGATGCAGAGACCCCTTTTGGAGCAAGACTCCTAGGGTATAAAATTAACTTAAATTCCTTGCATTTGATACAACGTCTTTTAGGTCGGGAGGACGTCTCAAAGCACTCTGTAGGATTTACTATAAAGTGGAGTGACTGTACTGTGTGGGCAAATACGGCAGCCAATTTGCCACAGCAATATCACACAAGCAGCTATTTTATCTGGAGGATTGTTGGCCAGCACACCAGGAGAAACTCCCTTCTCTTTCCAAATAGTGTCACAAGATTTTTTATGTCCGTCTTAACAGGCAGTTAGGACCTTGGTTTAATGTCTCATCTGAAGGACGGAACTTCCAACATTGCAGCGCCCAGCAGTATTGCAGTTTCAGCCTAGACATATGTGAGCTCAGAGTCCCTGATGTGGAGCTTGAACCCAAAACATTCTGCTTCAGAGGTGAGAGTTCTACCGACTGAACCAGGCTGACACACATAGCAGCATGGGCAAATGCACGCAATCGAACAAGTGGGACATAGCTCGAAATAAACTAGCTGCCGAGTTGGCCTACAAAATATGCTTGGAGCCATTTAGATGACATAACAAGGCGCTGTAATAAATGCAAGAATTCTTACATATTATCGTTAGTGTTCAAGGACATTACCCTGCCTGAGGGGCACTATATAAATGCAAGTTGTTGTTATCGATGCAAAAGAAAGCCGAACCATTTTATTAAATTAAGATTGAAAGTTGGAGCGGTGGTGTGTGTGTGTTTGGGGGGGGATGGGGGGGGGTGGGAAGGGGGTACGTGCACATGGGACGGCGAAAAAGAAAGGAAAGCGCAATGACATCACTCCAATTCGAATGCTGTGTTTCTATAATAACTTTGAAAACCTACCTTCAGCTTCATTGTGGATTATGTTCTTACACAGTAGATCATTATGGCACAGAACCACAGGGGATTTGATATGGGAAAGGTGTTCTTTCAGGGCATCGATTTCCCTGACAAGGACGTCGAGATTTGGCACCTCATTCGTAACCGTGGAGCTGGGAGCAGAAGGAGGAGGGGGTGAAGGGGAAGAAGGAGGGAAAGCAGGTGGAGAGGGAAGGGGCGAAGAGGAAAGGTGAAAACAAAACATATATAGTTTTAGAAACCTGACAGATCACACTGAGAATTAGAGGCTGTTGAGGCACTTTGTTGCTCTCGCTTAAGAACGTTTAAGAAACACAAAATAGCACAATTTATATTTATGTATCGCCCTTCGTGTCGGGAGGATGTCTCAAGGTGCTTTGCACTGCTGACTGGACACCAGAGCTGGGGCGGGTGGTGGGGGGTTGGGAGTTGTAGAGGAGGGTGGGAAGGGGGGAAAAGTTGACCAAAATCACGGTCAAAAAAAGGTAAGTCTTGAGGCGGGCTTTGAACATGGTGGGGGAGGGGAGTGGGGGGGTGGCGGTGGGGCGAGTCGAAGAGACTCCGGGATGGAGTTGCAGAGAGCAGAGGATACCTGTGCTTTCAGCCTCTCCCCTGGCTGAAAGCACAGGTACTGTTTGTCTTTTCATCACTCTCTGAGACTGGAAATTTCCCGCCTCCCGCATTAAATGAACAGAAGCTGCTGAAACTGCATATTCATTAGGAGGCAGAAAACAACAAATAACACAGTGAGTTCTGGCAGTGGCTTGCGGCAGAGTCTGTGCCAACTATAAATGATTTTACCATGGTTACAGACTAGAGGCTTTGTAAGTCCAGTAATACAAGGAACTGGATTTCCTGCAGTGTATTCTCGCTGGCCTCCAAAACGCCCATTTGTTTCTGGTTTCGCCTGATCACCGTACCCTGGAGACGTGTTAGCCTGTGTAAAATGTAACTCAACGTCAACAAGTTACACTCTGGTTAAGGGGTGCTGGCTGGACTATTCTCCTCATGTGGTCTTCAACTCTGCAGAAAAGTGCTGGTTCACAAGATTGGTTTGAATGAAGAAGACCCTTCGGCCGATCTGATCTGTTCCCTCCAGAACACCCACTCATCACAGCATCCAGCTGTTTTTCAAATGAGTCCAGTGTTCTGGTCTTTACCACCCTTTCTGTCAACCTGTTCCTGTCATTAATTATCCTCTTCATGGCAGTCGGTCAACACTGATGGACTGCAGCACTTTGAATTCCAGTGTTAAATCGGGCTACAGTGTATGTGCCATCGGCTGTTTAGAAGCCGTGCTGGGAGGACAGTAGAGCACGTATTGGTTAATCCCTTCAAAAAGCAAAATAAAAATGATTTGGTCACTCAAATTTGCTGTGCGCAAATGGTTGCTGTGCTTTGCCCACAAAATACACAGTTCAATTCACTTTACGGTATTATCTGTGAAGCACATCCCAACAACGTGATAAGCTTTATATCAAATGCAAGGATTATTATAGAGCGGGTATTCTGGAAGGATGAGATCAGATGGGTCGAAGGGCCTTCTTCATCCCAACTCATCTTGTGGTGAGGAGAACGAGAACCTTAAAATGAGTGGCTACTGTCACACCAGCTTAAACTTCACTCTCCAAAAAAAAAAGTTGTGGCAAATGAAACCCACGCGGTATCACTCGTTCTATTCCACCATAAATACTAGCCAGCAAATGCTCTGAACTGATTAAATTGTTAATGACTGACTGCATCAGGAAGTGATTACTGTAAATCAAGCTTTCACTTAAATTGTTTGCTTCTGTAGTTTTCATAGCCCATGTTCTGTGCATTGCAGAGCTACACATCATTATTACTGGACAGTCAGTATGTGCACTGCAAACATTATTTGGTCCCCTTCCTGCTGTTATATCTGTAGCACCGGTCAATTGACGCCAACTGTGCATTGCGGTCAGTATCAGACACATGGAAACTGGCTTGTATTAAGGGTTTAACAAAGGTCCTTTCTGGCGTCAGCCTAACCAGAGCTTGTGGCTTACCTCTCCACCTTTGTGCGAATTGGCGAAAGGAGCTCACGTTTGACAATAAACCATTTATGGACAAGTGTTGGGTTGAAGAGGAGGGCTGTGACTCTTCGTACCTTAATAATGTGCGGAATACAACATGTTACTATCGAGAAGCCATTCTCCCCCCAGGTCTCTGGAGTCCCTCCGCCTCGCCTGCTCCCTCCCCCATCTTTAAAACCAACCTAAAACTTTTTACCTGCACTTTTGGTCACCTTTTCCCTACCCCACCTGCAAAATTCCTCCGCTGTCCCCAAAACCCCAGCGCTCGGGCTCCCAGGCAGCTGTGTTAAGCTCTTTGAGGCATCTTTCCGTAAAAAGGTGCTACAGAAGTGGAAAACTATTTAGGCCACTGAACCGAATGCAGTACATTGTGGGGCTTTTCTATTCTGTACTCTTCCTCGACACTGTTTCTGAAGCTTTTAAAGAGCTCAGACGCTGTATGTATAAGAAAGCGAAGGACAGATTAACAACATGGGACGACCATTTTGTGCAGTTGGTGAGCGACCAGGGCTGACTTCTTTCCATCACGGACGAGCGATTTGTTCAGCTCCGGTCACAACGCAGCCCCAAACCCGGGCTCACCACAGAAAAGCGTTTGCTCAGCAACGGAGTTAGTTGCCTTTGGAACATAAATCAGGGTCGGCTTTGCACGAGCGTCAAGATTTTAAGCAACAAATAAATAAAAGAAATCAATAGAAAAAGAGTGAGAGAGAGAGAGAGTGAGAGAAAGCGGAGGACTGATCCACACAGGTAGCTCTTTCAGGATTACAGAAGTGGCCTGACATTAGTGAACCAATTACACGGTTGTTTGCTTCTTTATGTACTTCCATCAAACTCCTTATAGGAATTTTATTATAAGACTGCTACAGTGTTCAAACACACACACACACATACACCGGCTTAGCCATATATTAATATGACTTACTGATCAAACAGGAAATCTGACACTTGCGTTGATGATATTGGCCGCGCATTGCGACGTATTTCGAAATAAGTGCCCGATGCATCTCGCTTCTTCGCCACCCACCCACCCCCCCCCCCACCCTGCCACCGCCTCCTTCCCCTTCCCCTTCTCCCTGCACACACATTAACAAGCGAGGTTAAAGTTCTGTTGAGATTCCATCGCCCCGCAAATGACCGCAATAAATTTTTTTGAGGTAAAAGAGGGACGAGAAGGTTTGCGAGAAAAACCCAACGTATAATTTTTACTCAAAGAAACTTATTTACAAGGCAGCATGCTAAGGTGCCCATCAGAGTTGCCAGACCAGCAGTTTATTGCTAGTGTAGCATAGCAATTATTTCACCAGCTGATATTATTTTTGTTTCTGCAGCAAGTGAATCAAAGCATCTTAGCATGTCATGCATATGCTTTTAAAGGCACAATATAACGTAACCTGCTGTGTGAGCATTGTTCCTTGACCTGGTCGACCTCATTACTTTTTATGCTTTCTCTCTTACCCCCTCACTCGCTTGCAATCCCTCACTCCCCCCCAACCATCCCACTTAAGGGTAAAATGTCAGACAGCAATTTAAACTTTCAAAATGTTTGCAGTATTTACATTTGGGACAAACATTAAAAACAAGTATTGTACACAGATGTCTGCGCAATTCAAGTGTCTCTACCTAAGTCAACGGAATGTGAAATATACACATAAAAAAAATCCCGTTGCACATTTCCACCCTCTCTCTCTCTCTCTGCCCTGCTCGCCGCATTTTATAGGGAAATTTATACACACAACCACCAAGGTTAATTTTACAATCAAACTAAATCGGATCTGGTATGAAATTGAGTTTCCAGCCAGAATATCATTTTGCAAAAGAATCCAAATCACCCAGCAAATTTCATTTTAACTGGTGAAAATTTTAAGTCAGGCATTAAGAGCCTTCGAGGGCTAGTTTACAATGCCGTTTCCCATTTAACCCTTGCATCGCGGGTCACCGATGCTGCAAAGCAGCTCTTGGATCGAGCGGGCAGTCTGGCGGTTCGGTGGTGCTGGCTGTGATGTGGTGCCGAGTGACCGACAGCCGCTCACTTCATTCGAAGCCACTCTAAGTTATTTACGAGCCATTTTAGGGAATGTTCCCAGGAAAAATTCCCATTATTTCCGTAACCCTGAGTTGAATTGTTCTGTTTGCTACAGTGAGATTCTGTGGATGAAGAAGACCCTTCGGCCCATTTGATCTCATCTCTCCACCCGACCGTCCTCCCATCGCAGCATCAAACTGCTTTTCAAATGAGTCAGCCAGGATTTAACCAGTCTTTGCCCGTGAAAACCGTTCACCGTAACATTTTAAGAAAACATAGAACTGTGTAAAAAGGTTTAAATTGAAACTTAATTTTTTTTTAGATTTGTTGTTTGTTTCCCCAAATAAAGCCTGAATAAATAAATATTACCTGATGATTTACTCTACTGATTATAACACCTTATCAGAGCATCAAGATGTCTCAAAGCCCTTCACAGGCTATGTAAACTGTAGAGTGACTGTGTACTTTGTAGCCAAATGAGGCAACCAATTTGCGCACAGCAATATAGCACAAGCAGCCATGGAGTGATTGACAAATTTCATTTGGGGGATTGGTGGCCAGGACATCAGGAGTAAAGCCCTTCTCTTTTTGAATACTATTTGCCACAGGATCTTGGGTTCCAAGTACCAATGTGGAGCTTAAAACCCAATCTTCCCACTCAGAGGCACCAGCCCTATCACCTGAGCTAGGCTGACACCCTATCTAACCAACGGGGCTGAGTTTACAGACCCAAATCACTGCATTATAACAGAGTAATATTAATGATAATAATAATCCTTGCATTTGATATACCGCTTTTCATGTCTTCTAGACGTCTCAAAGCGCTTCACAGAATATGCTGTCAAGTGAATTGACTGTAGGACTTTATGTAGGACACTTACGTACATATATATGCACCCTTTATCACCTTATAAAGAAATTGCCTTTCAGAGACACCAAATAAGCGCATGTATTTTTTCATAGGCGGTTTTTGTAGCACACTTTCCCTGATATTTATTTAAAAAAAAACTTTTTTCACACAAAGTCAGAGACTTTCCACAATAAAAGAGGGATG